GGGTGTAACAAATCTGTCCATGTCTGCAGTACTGGTTTAACAAAACTCAGCTTACACATAGCCTGTCTGATCAAAGACTGCACTGCGTTTATGCAATCCATAAGCACATGTGATGGACATGCTGCATAGTGCTCATGGAAATAATCTGGATCATCCTCCAACAACCATACCAGTGATTCCACTTGATCCACACTAAATGGGGGAAAAAAGTCATTCCTGCTTTCAGGGGTACAGGACCGAGGCACCTCAGCACAAACCTGGATCAATGGCTGCACCTCAGAAAACTCTGTGCCCTGATCAACTAGACAATGTGCGATCCTTATACACTCTAGCAGTTGATCCCGGGTATACTCCTTCAGAGTCTCTGATACGCATAGTCTTTGTCATCAAACACTAACAGAGATAAATACACCACCTCATCAAGATCCATCCTTCCCAGCAACAATAAGCCAAGATGACTTCCCTGTGCAGCCACTTCTGGTCAGGATTGGCCTTGGTGTAATGTCAGGGATGCGGGTGTGACCAGAGATGTGTGTACTGACACAGGGAAACGCAGGCTCCAGATATGATATAAACAAGACAATTTATTAAGACTAACAATACAAACATAAACGCAGTGCACCAAACCCCAAGCTAACACAAATACATACAACAAGGTGAAACAAACCCAAACCTAAACTGATATAGATACACAGGTACATACACATATAGAGCACAACGTAGTCAGGCAGGCCTGGGTCGATAACTATTGGGCAGGTAGGTACAGGAGGAGCAGGCGGAGAGAATGGTCAGGGTCACAAGCCAGGGATCAAACAGGAGAAGTCAGCAGAGGTCAGGATCAGGCAGGGTCGGCAACAAGTCAGGCAGAAACAGAAACAGGAATGCAGGTTACAAGGTACAGGGGCCCATGGAAAAAAACACACACCAAGGCACCGACTGCAGGCCTGGCCATCCCTTAAATACACCACCTGCAATCAGCCCCAGGTGATGGCTAATTGCCAAAGTGAACCTCTGGTTGTTGAGAGCACCCGCTGGCCAGCCCTGGTACTGCAGCCCACAAGGCATCGTGAGTCCCACCACTATTGGCAAGTCCATTCCTGACAGTAAGTTACACCCAAGAATATAACCTTGCCCCAAATTTTTCAAGGCCCCCACCCCCACATATGTATGCACGTACAAACTTAAAAGCACACGCTGGGGCACCTACACGTGACAACAATGATTGCAATACACATGTTACGTATCACTGCGCACACCAGAGTGAGAGCAATAATTCTAGCACCAGACCTCCTCAGTAACGCTAAACTGATAACCTATAAGGGGCTTTAAAAGCGTCACCTATAGAAAATATAGGGTACTAAAGTTTGTTGCCGTTTAACGAGCGTTCGCAAATTTAAGGTTTGACATGTTGGATATCTATTTTCTCAATGCAACCTCATCTTTTATATTTTACAAAAAATTGAATAATTTATTGCTTTTTGTGCCCTAAAATTAACTTAAGTGTATTTTTTACTGACTTTTTGCATTTCCTAGACGTTTGTGATAATATTGTGTGACATAAAAAATTGAAACTACAGCTAAAAATCTCATCTTCAGGGCTTAAATTATTTTTTAAACGTGCAAAAAATGCAAAAACAGCTCTGGCAGCAAAAGGGATAAAGAATAATCTTGACACGCCCCTTTCCCGACGAGCACCCAATCAGTGCTCCTTACACTGCAAGGTCTCTCCCCTCCCTGCTAGTCCCTCGGTGCGGTGCCAGTGACAGGCAGGGAAGGGAGGAGATAAACAGCATAATGTTAAAAATATGAAACGTTTAAGTCGCCATAAAACCCCTTTTGTTTTTAAAAGACCCAGACATTACATAAATCAGATTTAAATACAGTCTTGGTAAAAAATATATTTTTTTTTTTATCTGGACACGTAGATTGTCATGAGGGACAAGTAGATTGGGACACCGATTTAGTCCCTGGACAAGTAGTTTTTTAAAAAATTTCCACACCCCTGTATGATGCCCAGTAGTCCTGTATGTTATCACTGTTATCTTAATTCCTGGAAAGAGTACAACAGTTTAGCTTTGTTCCATGGTTGTGCTAGAAATTAATGTCCATTATAGAACCTAAGGCTAGGTTCACATCTATGCAGGTTGTGGTTGATATGTTTTCCCAGTGCATTTTGCTGGTTTCTGATGCTTTTTAATGCCTTTACAAAAAATTAACTACTTGAAAATGCACAGATGTGAACGTGATTCATAGGAAATCATAGGTAAATGGACTGTAGTGCATTTCTGCATAAAAGAAAACGCACTGCAAAAAAAAAATAGGTGTGAACCTATCCTAAGACAACAGATATTATATCCAGTAATCAGACATACATCCCACTAATACTACAACAGTATAACTTAACAGTACAAGCACCCCTGTGCAGCACTCCCTCCCTATTGTGTGAGGTTAGACAAACAGGTGGGGTGGCAAGTATCCCACTGGGCCTGAGAATAGACTGATCTTGTAATTGCCAAGGATGCAGGCAGTTGTTAATACTTTTATATATAAAACCAGCGCACTATTTATCCTTCAATCTCTGCACAATCATAGATCTCCATATGCTCTCACCAGATTCTTCATATCAAACACTTGTATACAATTCAGTCTTCCTTTTCTCCTCTTCTTTACTGTCCACTCCACCTCGTACTCCCCAAAAATAAAAAATAACCAATATAGTGTAGTATGTTCTAATTGGCGCTATGCTATGATACGTCAATGTGCTCACTTTGCAAAAACCACAACGTGCTCCAAAAATATAATTCACTGTGTAGTCAACATCAACCACTATTCGCTATATGTACTCTTACCCTCCAGTATTTAATTCTGTGTGTGTAATCTATCTATCTATATATATCTCCTCAACAATACGTCTCACACTCTTCTTAGTGTATAAAGTGCACCATCCACTTGCAGTTTTCAAACCCTCAATTGTGCTCTTCACTTCCCCTTTAGGGCATGCACCTTACCCTGTGTGAATAAGTATGTGCCTCTATAAATTCTCCGTTTCGTCTCCGCTGTCACCTCTTCTCTATAACTCTTCATATTCTCCCGACCAATATGTAAAATCAAATAGAAAACCTCATAATGCAACAGTATGCATAAAATAATGCTTTATTGTGCTCACATGGTGTTTTTCCAGATACAAAACACCCTTTTTTAAAATGGCCACCATGGCACGTCTGGTTTGTGTCTGACGTCACTTCCTACTGACACATTTTGTCATGAAATTGACTTCCTCATAAGCAGTAAACGTCATCGGACCATCCATTTATAAGGAGCTCACTCCTGCCCCTGTTTTTCACCAGCTGTGGGAAGCAACTAATAGAATTACTGAAAATAAGGAAAAAAAAGAAAGCTGATAAAAGTGGAAAGTAATATAAAGGAAATGAAAGTGAAATTAGAACCTTTTAGGGAGAATAGTGAATTTAATGGACTAATGCAGCAGTTATTACATAATATGTCAAAAAATATATGGAGGTTAAAAAGAAGCACCAGACATATGTGAGGGATATGGGTGTCTATCAGGCCAATAAAATATATACATTGAAAGAACTTGTGATAGAACCCAGTACCTCGGTTGAATCATCTCCAGCAAGATCATTGGTCTCTAAGTGAAATAGGGACATGACCGTACCCAACAGAAAGGCTGTTGAAAATGGGAGTCATCACCATAGAGGAAAAAACCAACAAGGAGGACACTACAAAGAAATCCTCCTTCCCCGCAGAGACAGGGAGGTGAATGTAAATGATAATGTTCCAGTCCAGAACAGATTCCATCCTTTGATGGACTGGAGAGATGACGGCCCTGTATATAATCCCAGCCCTAGACATAGGGGATGAGCAGTAATAACAATCATTTTTTTTTCAGAGAGGCTGGTAAGGGAGACCCCAGGTCACCCTCCGAGAACCCCAGTATACAATTGGGGATACCAATCAAGAACCCCAATGTACAATCAGGGTTATCAACTGAGGACCCCGAGGAATTATCCAAGCTAGGAAAGATGACCCCAAAGGGATCCTTATTATTACAGTGGAGGAAGAAGAGATTTCAGGAGAAGCCCCATGTAGGAAAACACAGAGGGTGCAGGGGGGAGGAGAAAACATCAACAAAAAGAGGAGAGAGTGATAAATGAAGGAATACATAATCTTAGTTCGATCTCGCAGTCTAAGGAGGAGACCGAAGTACTGGATTTAGGATTGAAATTTGAAATATGGAGGTATTTAAATGGATGGTGGATGCAGAATTAAGGGAGTTAAAAGTGAAGAGATATAAGGATGCTGCTACAATTACCAAGGGTATGGAGAATTTAGAAGATATTAAAAAAGTGATTATACATACAGTAGACAAAGGGGGTGGGGTGGTTTTGTTAGACAGACAGGATTATGAGGAAGAAATAAATAGAATTTTGAGTGACACAGCCACTTATGAAAAACTGAACAATAATCCCACAAGAATTTTTTTAAAAAGAATTAAATACCTTAGTCAAAGAAGCCAAAAAGAATGGGGTATTGGATAATAAGGATGCAAAGTACTTAATATCCTCTAGTTGCAAAGTTCCAACTTTTTTACTATTTGCCAAAGATCCATAAAGGTTTGACTAAACCTCCTGGCAGGCATATAGTCAATGGTATATATATTCTGTGCATGCAAGGGTAGGAGAATATGTGGATCATTATCTCCAGCCAATTGTAACCCAAATGCTTGCTTATTTAACCACTAGCCTACAGGCCAATTATACCCCCTTCCTGCCCAGGCCAATTTTCAGCTTTCAGCGCTGTCACACTTTGAATGACAATTGCGCAGTCATGCAACACTGTACCCATATGAACCTTTTATCATTTTTTGTGACAGAAAGAGCTTTATTTTGGTGGTATTTAATCACCTCTGGGTTTTTTTTTTTTTCTAAAACAAACCAAAAACCACTGATAATTTTGAAAAAAAAAGTTTATTAGTTTTGTTATAAAATTTTGTTAATAAGTGATTTTTCTACTTTACTGATGTGCGCTAATGAGGCTGTAGTGATGGGAACTGATAGGCTGCACTGATGGACACTGATAGGTGGCACTGATGGACACTGATGAGGAGGCACTGGTAGGTGGCACTGATGGGCATTGACAGGCATCTCTGATGGGCACTGAAAGGCAGCACTCATATAGGGCACTGATAGGCGGCACTGACTGGCACTGATAGGTGGCACTGACTGGCATGGTTAGGTGGCACTGATAGGCAGCACTGACTGGCACTGATAGGCAGCACTGACTGGCACTGATAGGCGGCACTGACTGGCAGCACTGACAGGTGGCACTGACTGGCATTGATAGGTGGTACTGACTGGCACTGATGGGTGACACTGAAAGGCAGCTCAGATGGGCACTGATATGTGGCATTGATGTGCACTGGTAGGCACTGAAATGTGGCACTGATGTGGCACTGATGGGCACTGTAAGGTGGCATTGCTGAGCACTGACACATGGCACTGATGGACACTGACAGGTGGCACTGCTGGGGCTACACTGATCATCAAGGCACATCATCAGTGCCCTGATTATCAGTGTAGATGTCCCCTCCGAGGAATGCTGATTACCGGCTTTCCTCTCCTCTCGAGCTGTCAGCCTGACAGCTCGTGAGGAGAGAAATGCTGATAACCGGCATTTCCCTGTTTACATGTGATCAGCTGTGAGTGGACACAGCTGATCCCATGACCGAGCCGACATCTTCGGCTCTTTCCGTGGATCTGTGATCCACTGTGTCCGAGGGACACAGCGCACCGCCGATCGCCGCGCTGTGCGCTCCCAGAGCCGCGCATGCGTGGTGAGAATGGGAGGACGTCATGCGCCCATCATTGTACTATATGGCGGGCGGGAGGAGGTTAAAGGACAGTCAGCATGTTATTGATTTGGTAGAAAATTTAGAAGTAGGATCTAAAACATTTCTTGCCACCATAGATGTTAGCTCCCTCTGCATGAGTATTCGACATGTGGATGTGTTAACGCTGTAAAATCTGCGTTGAAGACATTTGCTAATTTGCATAGAAAACATAGAAAATTAATTCTACAAATGTTGGAGTTTGGTATGCATAGGAACTATTTTTTGTATGGAGGAGAATTCTATATCCAAAAGAAAGGAGTGGCAATGGGAGCGAAATTCGCTCCCAGTTTAGCAAATATTTTTATGTCCAAGTGGGAACAAGAAGTTATTCCATAAACGGGAGGGATTAAGGATCTGGATAAGGTTTATTAATGACATTTGGATCATGTGGGAAGTGAGTATGGATTCTCTATTGGATTTTTTTGCTCATATAGACATTAATGAATATGGTTTACGATTTTCCAAGAAGATCAACACTCATTGGATTTACATATTTTCTGTCATGAAGGGATGTTACGCACAAAAACCCATTTTAAGGCTACTGACCATAATGGGTACATCCCAGTTTCCAGCTGCCACCACCCATCGTGGCTGGATGGGATTCCCAAAGGGCAGTTTAGCAGGATGAGAAACTGCTCTACTTTGGACGACTACATTGCACAATCGGAAATAATTAAAAAAAGATTTGTAGATAAGGGTTATGATCCTGAGAAACTGGAGAGAATTAGGTATGATCTAAGTAAATATTATGTGGGTGAGATAAGGAAGAAACAGCCAAAAAAGGAAAAGATAGAGATTTGGAATTTGCATTTATTTCCTATTTAAATTGCCAATATAAGTATGTTGAACAGATTATCAAAAAGTGTTGGCCTATCATAAAGAAGGACCGGGTATTAGGGACTATGGTACCTAAAAAGCCAACATTAACTTATAGAAGGACTTCCAATTTATGTCAGAAACTAGTAAAAAATGTTATATCTGCTCCACGGGTGTCTAGAGAAACTGACCTGAAAGGCTTCTACCCTTGTAGAAAGTGCACGATTTGTAGGACCACGAATATGAGTATTAGGAAGATTAGAGGTTTCAGGTTCAATGTTACACATAGGGAATACACCATCAATAAATTCATTTCATGTCAATCGACTTTTGTCACCTACATGCTGGAATGCCCTTGTGGGTTCCAGTATGTAGGTCGGACTATTAGGAAGTTACATGTGAGGCTAAGCGAACACGTCACTAATATAAAAAGCTTGAAGGAGCATAGCCTGTCCATTTTAAAGAGGCACATAATTGCAACCCCTCATTACTGAAATTTTGTGCTATAGATAGAGTGGGGGAGCATTGGGAGGGGAGCAATTGTACCAGGAAGGTTTGAAAAAAAAAAATGAAACCTTCTGGATTTACGAGTTGGCGAGTATGTACCCAAAAGTATTAAATATAGCTGGATCTAAACTGGTTTATTTCCAATTTTTAGATTTAAAAAGGCGGAGGCGAAATGAAGAATTTAAAGAGGCACATACTTATTCACACAGGGTAAGGTGCATGCCCTCAAGGGGAAGTGAGAAACATGATTGAGGGTTTGAACATTGGAGGTGGATGGTGCACTTTATACAGTAAGAAGAGTGTGAGACGTATTGTTGAGGAGATATATATCTATAGATTGCACCCACGGAATTAAATACTGGAGGGTAAGTGTACATATAGCGAATAGTAATTGATGTTGACTACACGGTGAATTGTAGTTGTGGAGCATGTTATGGTTTTTGCAAAGTGAGCACGAAAATGCATCATATCATAGAGCCAATTAGAACTTACTACACTATATTGGTTATTTTTGAAAGTACGAGCAGTGGAGTGGACGGTAAAGAAGAGGAGAAAAAGAAGATTGGATTGTATACAGCACGCGTTTGATATGAAGAATCTGGTGAAAGCATATCTATGATTGTGAGGGGATTGAAGGATAAATAGTGCACTGGTTTTATATATGACTATTTTCTCTGCCCAGGGGGAAGTTTTATTCTCAGCTGCATGACTTTGTGACTTTTGGCGCTTGTGGCAATAAGAAGCTGTTAATACTTCTAACCATCCTAGCTTTGACTTTTAAGTGTTGTACTGTGTTGTATACCTGAAGGAGGCCTGTAGACATCAAAGCTTATTCTTTGGATCCGCACCTATAATTACTAATTAAAATCTAGTGTATTACTGTCACGTACCTGATGGGAGACTGAAATGACGAGGTCGGCCTCACTTGTGTCACTAGCCGTGACCCCACTGGAGTTGGAACAGAGGGAGTCTAGGGACCAGGGGGACAAGAGTGCCAGTAGTTGTTTGCAGCTCTTGCAGATGATGACCTTGGAAGACTGATGATCTTCTGATTTAGGCACAGTAGTAACAAGCAGAGCAGGTCTTGTAGATTGCCAGGCGTGCACCAGAGCAAGGCATGTAGTGAGGGTAAGAGGCAGGAGCAGTGTCACAGGAATAGCCAGGGTCATCAACAGTCGGGCAGCACGGTACAGAATCAGAAGGAAAGCCAAAGACAGGAGCAGAGCCAAAGTCAGGAACCAGTATCAATCAGGAGAGCAATCAGAGTCAGGGGAGGAACAAGCCGGTGCAGCAACAAAGGAATCACACAGGAACAAGCAGGACACAGGGGAGCTGAAGACCAGTCAGCACCTAACATGGGCAGAGACACTCTTTAAATAGCCCGTCTGGCGCCAATATTCACCGTGCGTGTGCACGTGCGCGATCGCGCATTTCTGCGCGCATGCGCAAAACCGACCACTCTTCTCCGGACGTTCCTGTGCGCATGCGCACTTCTAATTGCAATTCATCTTGCCGGAAATCCCTTACAATTACTATTGTTACAATGTATTTGAATAAACACTTTGTCCACTCATGTCTGTATACCTGGGGAACTGAGCAGGTCCTGATTGTCAAATTTAACAGCTTATTCTCAGTAGTTTCACCAGGAGAGTGGGAACAGCAGAGGAACAAGGTCTTTGGACAGTTTTTTAGGTGTACCTCATACACCCATGCTCTTTACTGGTTCAAAATACACTTCACTGAGAATTAACAATTAAGCCTTGAAATACATACAGGGATCACAGCTCATCTTCTAAGGGTTTTTTATGCATTTGGGCATCAGATGGGCATCGGTAATCTGGTAACCCCCTTTTGCTTACTTGTATGTAATGCAGGAGAGATGTTTCCAAACACATCCTTTGCAGATGCTTTGCTTTCTGTCACAGTTTTTCATTATGTATCACCAGCCACCAGTCAGATTCAAATACAATAAGTGTATGTTACCCTAAATATTTTTTTTTCTATGTGTATGAACATACTATATGTGTATTTTACAAAATCATAGTCTATACTTCTTCCATGTGAAGTACTTAATTGATCCTGCGAGTCACCTTCATTGTTCTAAGTTGATCACACAAAGCACAAAAGGTGATCTGTGATTTTGTGGTCGGTTTTTATCCTTTAGCTGGCCATTCAGAGGTACAGGACACTGTGCAAACACACAGCATACCTGTACTGGATAGTTTCTTCAGTCACCACACCCCCAACCAATCAGAGCATGCTTCTTAAACTACCCCCTGCTTCAAACAAAGCCTTCATCTTGCCTCATCCTGAACAGACTATGGAATACAGGAACACTGTCCTGTAACTCCAACGTCCACTATCAGGAATAAGAGATACATGGTCACATGATGCAACTTTTTAACCTTGTAATATAGATAATTTCTGAAACTACGTCAAAGCAGTTTTGGTGCCTGCACAGTCAAAACTGTATTAGAAAGTGTCTATAATATCGTATGTTCGCTACTACTTTAAAGGATAAGTTTTGGTAACATGTTACATGTTGCACCTATATGTAATATGTCACTGTGCACCTCTCCCTGCACAAGTTAAAAACAGCGATCTGTGAATGAATGAACTACAAGTCCCATCTACCACTGCGGCAGATGGCTTCTCAGTGAACTGTGAGGGCGCTGATGAGCACAATCATAGTTTTGTTGCTCCTGCACTTCAGTAACTGTCTGAATGGGAGGTACGGACAGACAGCTGTACTGACAGTCTGCAGGAGCCTCACATTACACTCGTGATCTGCTAATCATGTGTGCAAAGCTATGCAGGCTCGTAAGAAAAAAATAAATGCACAATTTTTTCCCCTTCAATAAAATGTGCATTTAGTATTTTTTTTAAAGTGAACTTAGCCTGTAAGTAGATAATAGAGGATTTTTATTTAGGTGGCAAAACCCTCCCACCCTACATGTGATAAACACAAATCTGGAATTGTGACATTTCAGTAAACTTGTCACAAACCTCTGCAATTTAACATATGTATAAGATGGAACTGCTTATAAAGCCAATGTTACCCCCAGAGAATATTTCATGTCAAAACAATCAACATTTCGTT